CCAACATTCCCTTTCGGCTTCTTTAACAGTTTTTCATGCTACTGCTTTGAGTTTTTTCATTTCAATCAAATTTTGGGTTGTGGGTTCCGTTTTGAATTTTTGCAGTGCCATTTCCCGGTTTCTGACTGCTTTTTGCCAGTTTTTGTCAAACCAGGGTTTAGTTTTTTTATAATTGTTGTTTATAATCCCAGTTGGCTCTTTTCAGTTTCCATCTGACGGGGCCTATCTTTTCTTCCTTGGCAGGCTTTTGATTTTCTAGAATGATCGGGTAATGATCACTGCCACATGTGTCGCTGTGTGTTTTCCATGTATAGTCCATACAAATTTCTGGATTGCATATACTTAAGTCTATTGACGATTCTGATTCACTGGAGGGATTAAGGTAGGATTTATGATTTAGTAGACATAAGTTATGGGTGTTTATTATTTCTTCTAATATTTTACCTTTAGTATCTAGCTTTTTGCTGTTCCTGTTAAAGTCTCCTAGTAAGATTCTGGGTTTAGGAAGTTGTTCCATTAAGTTATTTATTTCTGTTGTATTTATTGGTTCTTGTGGGGGGTATATAAATGGAAAGAATTGTGATGGTTTTATCTAGTGTCACTTGTGTTGCTATTGCTTGTAATTTAGTTTTAATGTGTACTTTACTTTGCAGTATATCATTTCTAATCAATATTGACACTCTTCCATTAGCTCTATGTCCTGTATTGTGGTTATAATGGTATTGTTTATAATTTTTAATTTTTAATTTAGCATTTTCTTGTAAATAAGTTTCCTGTAAGCAGATGACGGCTAGATACAGTAGTGACATAAGTATGAGTAGGTCATTGCAATTAGATTTTATTCCACGACAGTTCCATTGCATGATCTTATGTGCCATAGTTATATTTTCATTTTTTGGAGCTAAAGTTACCTTCTAGGTTTATATCATTTGTCTTCTCCAGTTTTTTTCCAGCTCTTGAGTTTTTTGAATCTTTATCTTCAACTACTTGTGGTGTCCTTCGGTCAGATTTTTGGTTTTGTTTTGGAATTTGTTTATTTTCATTCTCTTCTATTTCCATATATTCCAGAGGTTCAAATTTATTTTCATTTGATATATTGATTCTTGATTTTGAGTTATATCTTGATTGAGTGTTTTCTTGTTCTGTTGTCACTTTTTGGCCTTTTTGTTTATTTTCATTTTCTTGATTTGGGTTTGGGAAGAAGAGGGTTCGCTGGAGTTTTGTTCTATGTTTTCTTTCCAGAGTTTTTTGCCTTCTTCTGGGTTAGTTTCTTTTGATTTGGGTTGTTGAGTTTTATTCTTATTTTGACCTGATTTAAGTTCGATTAAGAAGGTTTTTAATTCTTCAAGGAAAGCTTTTAATTCCTTATATAAATTTGCTATTTCAGTTGAACCTTTTATTTTATCTTCACTGTTTATTTTATTTGCTTTTTGTACCATGGAGGCGTAGGTGTTTTCTTTTATGTTATGTTTAACTTCTTTTCGTGCTTCTGAGAAAGATATATTTTTTTTGTGTTTTATTATTATTATTTCTTTTTCCTGTTTATATATACTACATTGTTTTGAGAGGGCAGAATGGTTTCCCAAACAGTTTGAGCATAGGCTCTCATTTGGACAGTTCTCTTCTTTATGTTCTGGTTCTTTCTCACTACATTTTCCACATGTTTGTTTATTTCGACAGGAATCTCTGTGATGCCCAAATTTGTGGCATCTATAGATGTGAAAAGGGTTTGGTATGTAGTTCCACTTTTATAATTTCATATCTAATTTTAATTGTTGTCGGAATTTGGGGGGAGTTGAAAGTTAGAATGTAGGTATTAGTTTGTATCTCTGCTTCATTTTTCTTTATTGTAATTCTTTTGACATTTGTAACTCCTTGAGTTTGAAGTTCTATTTTTATCTCCTCTAGAGTGCACAGGGAGAGCTCCTTGCTTTTTACTACACCCTTAGAGAAATTTAGGGTTTGGTGTGGGTAGGATTTTATTTCTATTTCTTGTAACTTTTTTTGCCTTATTAGTGTATCCGCATATATTTTTTTTTCCACTTCCACTAGTAATGTTACATTTTGTAGTTTTTTTACACTTTTTGGTATGATTATATTTGATATGGCTCTTTGGATTTTAAATGGAGATATTTCATTTAGTGCTTTGTTGCTTATTGCTTCTAGAACAATAAATCGTGGAAATTTTTCACTATCATTTTCTGTTTCCGAGTCATTATCCACATGTGGTCTCTTGGAAGATTTCTTTTTTTCCATTGATTGTTTTTATTTTTGTTCATCATCCACGCTCCCTACCCACCGCGGAGTCCAGTATTGGGACATGACAAGGGGGAAACCCATTCACCTTGCCATGTCGGGGCTACGTGAATGGTATACTCTCTTTGGGAGGAGTCTTTGAGCATGCATGTTCCTTTGTTTCCGTTATCCAAGTTTTACGGTTTTGAAGGTTTAGCAGGTGTGTCAGATCCTTTTTTCTCCCAAATTGATTGACCCTCAGCTACCGCCTTCCATCATATATTTAGGGGTAGGTGTTAGTTTTTGTTGGGAAGAGGAGTATAAGTTATAGGTTTGGGGTGGATTATATATGATGGGGCTTGACATGACCAGCCGATTGATCGGATCGGGCCCCTCTGACCGCCCGTCTAGCCCAGGTAAGGGCCAAAGTGGTGTGTTGTGACCGCTTTACACCTGGATTACGACCTGCTCAACCACCAGGATCCCGTCCCCAGACATTACGGGTCGCCACCCACGGCCAACAGGTAGCCCCATTGAGGGACTTTTACCCTCTGCAGTGGGGCAGTCGGTGTATTTTGATGCCCCACTGACCGGGAGTTCAATGTTAGGAATAGGGAACAAATCAAAGCATATTTTGTGGTTTACTTCTATTTTGTAATACCCACATATCTTTAAATCTCCATCAGGGCCCAATTACTACCACTAGGGGGCACATGCTCTAAAATTCCTTGCTCCACCATTGTTTTTAGTTTAGCAACTATTAAAGGTTGCCTGTGAATTGGCAGTCTGCGAAACTCAAAGTAAGAGGGGCAACTATTTTCTTTTAATTGAATACTTAGTTTGTATCATTTTAACATCCCTGTGTCATCAGTTTTCAAACTTCACACTGTTAATTAATTTGGTTGTATCCACTTTCAAGATATCTATTCCCATGAATCCAGGATTTTTTTCACATTTAACTACCATGATGGGGAGGGGGGTGTTGGTCTCAAAAATTCCTTCAAAACATTTTGATGAAAGAGCCATCAAACTATCTTAGTTTAAGCCAGCTTTTCTTTAATTTGGGTTTGCCCATTTATTCCCAGAGATTTATTGGGATTAGGGTGACATCACTCCAAGTATCTACTTGCATAGAAAAAGTCATACCATTCAATTCAATTTTTTTCTGACACTTTTCTCTTTGTATCGCAAATACAGTAGTATTTACCTGGGGGGGTAAATTTTGTACTCTTTCTATTTTCCTTTTATGCTTGCACACAGACTAAAAATTGTTTTTTTTACAATTGCAACATACTTATCCTAAAGCTAGACATTTTTCTTGTCCTGTGCAGGGGTTTACAAAAGTGGTAGTTATGTGTGTTTACAGGTGGTTATCTTTGGATAACATCCTTAATCCAAATATACACCAATTTGGGGCCTTTTAAAAATGCATGCAAAGATAATTAGTACAAAGATATATTTTACATGTACTGATAAAATTTTATACCTCTTAAAATATACAGTATTCAAAGAGTTCATAAGTTCATATCAGGAAGTTCTCATGTTAAACATCTAAGTCCTTTAGCATATAATAGAGAGAGAGAGAGAGAGAGAGAAGAGAGTCCTTGTAAATGTGTATATAAGTATCTGTTGATAGTAGTAATCTTTTAGATTCTGTGGGATTTTTAGGAGTCTGAAAATTTAGGTTATGGGAGAACAGACAAAATATTTCATTGACTGTTTGCCTTACCTGGTCACCCCTAAGTTTATCATTTTTTGGGACAAAGGAATTCATTTAAGAATTGTCTCTTGATTTCTGATTGGTTCACAGGACTCATTTGACCATCCCTTTTTCTTCACCACCATTTAGGAATGATGACCTTTTGAACTATTTTATTTATTTTTATCTTTTGGTTTTATTTCTTTATGGCAAATCAAAATGGTTTGCCAACTTTTAGCTTTCTATTCTTTTTTTTATTTTTTTTAAAATAGTGAACTTTTTATTTTTCTATCACTACACTCATTCATGCTTTTTATCACATTATTTGAATTGCACAAGCTAATTCAATATGTTGTATGCTTGGCATTGCCCTTGGATGTATTGAATTTTTCAATTAACTCTAATTGTTGCAGAAGCTCTATCAATGCGTCCAAGGACATTTTAGTCAGTTGTAACCATTCTAAAATTTTGTGTTTGTACAAATCATTACATATACCTTCAATTAATCTCAACTCAATTCAGCTTCAATTGCCATTTCTCCGGTGCCAAGTTTTTCAAACTCACAGAATCTGGAAGCCTCACATAGCTTGTGTACATACTGTATTATTGTTTCATTTGGATCTTGTTTGCTTACAAAAAACTTCATCCTCTCAGCAATAACAAACTTCTTTTTCAGTTGCAAATTTCTATTTATAATGTTTACAATTCCTGAAAAGGTCAAATCCTTCAATTCTCTGGGATACACCATGACACATCTTTCTGATGGCCTCACATCCTTGTAATCTTCTTCTCCCCTCTTGCAACTTTGTGGTCTTTTTTAACTTCTTGGCCTGCAGCTGGGCAACAAAACAATGAATCCATGTTTTCACAAAGTCCAACAGAGTTAAAGATCCTATCAGCAATGCCATATTGCTGTGATGTCTTCTAGTCTATGATGTAGAAGTTCTACCCCCGTACCAAGTGATGACTGACTTATTAATAGTCGCTCTACTATGCAAAATTGGGCAAGTCCATTTTGCCTATGTCATGACATAAAGAAACTTCTGTAAAGGATCTAAATACTCACATAAAATAGTTGTTTGTTTAAGCGGCAGTCTTGTAAAACTTCAAACATTTTGATGGCTCCTTGCCTGGCATTATCTTCACCTACAAGTGTTTTCACAGCATCTGAGAAATAAATAAAGTCCTATGTTCAGATAAATTATATTTCTGAAAATATTTTGAGAGTGTTTAAATCAAATCTCAAAAACACTAGTTTATGTTTTTAATTTTATAGTCTAATAATCTGTGATCATCTTTAACATAATTAGGTAAATTAAAAAAGTCTATCATTCATATATTTAGTCAATTTAAATTTTAGTATTCCACAAGAAAATAAAAATAATGCATTTTTATGAAATTTCAAAATTTTGCCATGCTATTTTTTCTTTTTGCTTTAACTATTTCAATACTTGCTACTTGTAGAATTTTGAAAATCTATCATGCCAAATGACTCATCTAAGTCCAATGTTTTTTTTTTCATTTTTAATTTCTTAGATTAATTAGATAAATGTAAAAGCATAAAAGTGCACTCATGATTTGAAAAAAATATTGACATTTTCATTAAAAACCATTTAAAAGTCTAGTACTTTAAATTAGTAAAATGATAAAGATGATGTCCATCATATTGATAAGACTCAAACACCAAAAATGAATATTGGTAAACTGTTATATATATATATTGTGCATTACTTGTAAATAACAGTTGGGCATGAATTAAGGCTATCAAAAAATGAAAGGTTCAAGATCTAAAAGGTTAATATTCTTTATATCTGCTGAAACAAAAAAAATAACTTAGTTCCATATTTATGATATGAAAAGAAAAAAAAGACATATGATTTTGTGAAAAGGGTCAGATCTGTACCAATTTTTTTTACATTAAAACATCTTATTGCATTACATACTTGATCATGAAATTATTTCATATCACATGAGGAAATATTCAGAGTATTTCCTCATGTGACAGTAAGTGATATAGCAATACAAAATAAACCTAACAAAGTTAAAATAATCAAAACTTCAGTAGTTTCCTTTGAAAAAATTATTTCTTAGCTTTGTAACATAATGAAATAAAAATGGTATTGAGCTAGAAGAATATTTTAGTGAACTTTGATCTTCACAAAATTAAATGCAATGTTAATTGTTATCTAGTGTCTTCTTAATTCCTGTTCTGTTATTGTCCTCTCTCTCTCTTTAATAATGTTTTTCTTTTTGTCATATTCTTTCACATTCATCTTAATGGCTTTGCTTGGGATGAAATGATTAAAAAATCATGTTGACATTCACTATTTTTCATACATATAATTTATTCTAAAAGAAAGAATATTCTGATAATCATGAGATTTGCATATAATTCTATGTTCTTCCTAAAGCTTACAATCAAAAAATCATATTCTTTCATAATTATTAGAATTCTTGATTATGACAGAATTTTCTTTTCTTATAACATAGGCAATACTCTTCTTTATAGAATAAATAAAAAATAAATGTAAATTAACCTCAACTAAAATTCAAACTTGGTTTAACAATTTTCCTTGCTGATACATACATCATCATTGTAGAATTTTGTCATTTCATATAACTCTTTGTCTTTAAAAATATTGGTATGGTAAAACTATTTTTTGTCTTAAATGTTTCATCACATAACAATCAAATTTAAGTGATATTGGATGTATCATTATTCCCAATTCTCTATAGAATATCAGTTTTCTTCTAAGAACAATTATAATTCTTGTTAGTCAATTATATTTCTTTTTAGTCCTATGAAGATATTTGTTTAATTAGTCAAAAATACTTCACTTACTGATAGAAATAAGAAACTTTTTTTCTTTCATATATATATATATATATATATATATATATATATGAAAGAAAAAAGTTTATTATATAAATATATATAAGTCATTTCTAAAAAATTAATGGATTTACTTTTAATCCAGCATTTTTTTTATCAGATTGGTTTGTGCCTGATTTTCATTGTTAATATAAAATGACTGCAACTTGATATTGATGTTTGTTTTGGTGCTGATTCTTGGTGTGTTCTTGACTGAAATCTTGCATCATTCAGTCTGTTCAATGTTGATATTTTTTCTATAAGCAAATGCTTTAAAGATGGAGGATGAAAATTTTCACTTTTGCCATATTATGTTTTATGAATTTCAGAAAGGAATAAACATCAGAACTGCAACAAAAATATTCAGAAGATTTATTTGGATCTTCAGACAGTTAAAAAGTAGTTTGGAAGATGATTTTGAACTAAACAAATGAGCCATGCTCCAGATGAACTTCTGACATTGATGAAGATGTTTTGCTTAACATTGTGGAGAATAAACCAAAGATTTTGATGGGAGAGATTGTTTAGAGTATGAAAATTGATATCTTAATTGCCTTTCACTATTTGAAGAGACTTGGGTTTGTTTCTAAATTCAACACATTCAGATGGAACAGAATAAGCACAATTATATTTCTGTTATGAAAAGGAACCGTTCTTGGACAGAATTTTCACAGGTGATGAAAAATGGATCATTTATGATAATGTTCAACATAAAACAAACCTGGAAACAAGCTTGTGGATATGCAGAACCCATGGCTAAGGCACCAGAAGTATTGAAACAAAATAGCTATTTTAGTAGTGATGTTATAACATGTTTATGTTATAATTTTTGAATAAATGCTATTTGCTCTACTCTATATTGAGCACTCTTTTAAGAATTAGTGTTTTTGGTCAATGGAATTTTATTCCGTCTATACCAATCTTATATTTGTGTATATATATAATTTAAGAAAATAATTTTGTTAAATATTGATTTGATTGATATTTTAATCCAATAATCATACAAGTCAATTTTATATATTCATGGTAATGTAGTTGTAAGAACTTTTTCTGCATTCTCTTGTATGTATGTGTGTACACACACACATACAAGAGAATGCTGAAGAGTTCTAACTACATTACCATGAATATATAAAATTGACTTGTATGATTATTGGATTAAAATATCAATCTAATCAATATTTAACAAAATTATTTTCCTAAATTCCTTCTATGTGAATTATTCTGTCATTTGATCCAGACAAATTTAGTTTTCATTAAAGAATTACTAAAACTAAAATTCATTTACACACTAAAGTAAACAGAAAAACTAATGTTGCCAAATATAAAACAATATTTTGTGTTCAAACTAAAAAGTAGAAATAAAAATGATTTATACTTGACAACCAATTCTAATATTATTTATTATCATAGACATGTATGTTTATTGCATTGTGACATAAATACGCAATTATGTAATACTGTTTTTAATAATTCTTACAGTAACAAACAAGATTTATAAAATTTCACTTAAATTTTTATGTAAGTATTACCAGGTAAATTTTGGAGAAGTTTCTCTTTTGCTTCAATTCGACTTTTCATTTTCTCTTCTTCTGTTTTTGGTAATGATGGTTCAGCCAAGACTCCATTTGGCCACATTGATTCTTGGAATGTTTGAATATAATAAATTAGCATAGATTCAGAGAAGATCCAGTCAATAGTCACACGAAGTTGCCTAATAAATAAACAATCACAAAATAGAAGATTAAACATTATATAGAATCTATTTATTTAAAATTTAACAAAGAAATCTAATAAATTCTTCTGTCTAAGAATATGTAAAGGATAAATGAGTTGACTGAAAAAACTGCAGGAATATTTAATGCAGACTTATGATTTTACTGTTATTAATTTTCAACCAAAATTATAAATATGAAATTTTCTTTTTGTGTATTTTCTTGCTGTCTTACATTTTAATAAGGCATTAATGAGCAAAAGACTGCTGTTAATTATTGAATCAAAGTTACTAGTGTCAATATTTTCAAAGTATCAGTATTTATGATACAAATATTCAAAATTTTAGCTTTTTATTGAATTTTAAAGAAAAAGATTCTTCCCACTACACCCAATATTAACAAAGATTGTTACAAAATGATGAGCAGAAAATTCTAAGCTTAAAATATTACAAAAAGCTGAATTGTTTTTTAAAAAAAAGGAAAATTTGAAATAGTTTAAGATAATTAACATACAACTTTTAATGTCTCCTAAATATAAGCAATAACAAACAATATGATGGCAGTGTAGACATATTCCCTAACCTGTTTATGGATCTGCCAAATGTTACTTCAACAAACAAAATGAAACTCTTTCTCAGCCATTTAAAAAGACCCCGTAATTCAAACACTTCGTTGATCAAATGATACAAAGGTTCAGCAATGGAATCTCGACTTTGTTCCTCTTTTCCACTGCAAAAGAAATTTAACAATATTAATCATGATAATATTTGAAACATAACAGTTTATACATTATTCATATGCTCAGATGCAAACTGTGATGATAACTTTGATAATATTATTTATCAGAATCAAAGAAAATGTTATGAAACATTTCTGCATAATTGTAAAGTTTTTAGGATGATTAATAATGTTCATTAATTTTGATAGATGTTTATTTAACATAATCAACAAAAAAGAAAATAGATGAATGTAATTGAAAAAAATGAAGGGTAAACTTGACTATTTACATCTTGGAAATCTAGTTAAGAAAGAAAATTTTGTGTTATTTTATCAAAAAACAAAGTATAGCATTTCTCTTTTCTTAAAAAAAAAAGCATGGAGAGAAGTTTTTCAGTTCTAATTTCAAGGCCTTAAATTGACCTGTTTAAAAAAAGTTAATGACAGCAGTATCTATATGCTACTAAATTTTGTTAAAATCAGGTGATGGATTACCAAATTAAGGCTATTTTTCTGCTTTTATGAGATTTTCCATTATAAAAAATTAAAAACCAGATGATATGATGACATTAGTATGTGGACATTAAAAAAAGTACACAAGAATTTCTTTAATTTATATAAAATATTTAAGTCCTTCAAAATTGTACTGTATCACTTTGTAGCATTGCTCTGACTACTGTTCATATAATTTTATCATATTTATATTATACAAAATGTTACCATTATGATTTAAATTTTATCAATGTATTTTTGTATCTGATTTATGTTTACATATACTCTAATAATTTAAAATCTTCTTTAAACTGTTGGTTAATACTTAAATTCATCCAGTCTTCCTTTTAATCATGATCAACAAATATCTTTTCCTGAATTATGAATAACATGAATGGATTGAAATATTTATCTCAAACTTTTATTTCACTGCAATATTGAAATTATCTTGAATTCTTCATAACCTGTATAGTTAGGAGTAAATATTGCATGTACAAAAGCCACTTCATTCAGTTCATTGAAAAGTGGTTGAATGAGTATGATATATAAGCATTAAATGATTTAACCCAGATTTGTCTATTCATTCATCCAGAGGCTAGAAATTTAATTGGTTGTGAAAGTGCTTCAAAACAATAATTTTTATAAATAAAATTTAAAAATGCAATTTAAATAAACAATTGTTGATTCTTACCTTCACTTAATGACATCAGACCAGATTAAATTAGGTCTAATTGATGTAAAGTATCAATTAATATTTTCTTGATAGTTTTATTTTCATTCATTTTATTATGCACATACATCAATTAGCCTGCAAGCCTAATGATAAAAAGACATTTATTTTTCAACATAATATTCTTCCTTGTCAATGAAAATTAATCACATAGTTTGAACAGTGTACAGTAAAAATTTTAGATTGAAATTTAGCTAATAACTATGTTACTGATCGATTATTTTGCAGGCGGATGTTAAATACTCAGATATCCCAATATTAATTAAAAAAATGTTAATTACTTAGATATCCCAACATTACAAAAATAGAAAATTCCACAGTACTTCAAGTAAACAAGTAAACTATGCATAAAACCTTTTTTACAAGAAAAATAATAAACAGTTGAAAATTTCATTTATATCTCTGGGAAAGGTTTTTCATAATAAACAGTAATGTTATATAATATTTAAATCAAGTAAATATGGAAAATGATCAGACAATCATATAACTCAAGCATCAAATAAAAATGTTATATTTTCTTTCTGTTTTTATTTTCTAAACATTTCATTACTCATCTTTTGCTGCTTCTGTAATACATAAACTAAAATTATTATCAAGAAACATTAAAAATAATGAATTGTTTAGGGTTCATGATTTTTGTTCTTACAAAGATGAACTTGTATACATAAGATCAAAATCACTGTATATCAGGCCACATTGTTGTTTTACCATTTTTTGTACACATTTATATACATCAACAATAGATCTTAGTACTTATAGAAAGTAACAATTTTACTATCCTTCAAATATAACAGTGAAACTTTCATTGATTAATTCAAATTATTTAAATATAGCCAATGAGGATAAGTAAAGAAAATTCAATTTTGAGCAAAAACAATATTTCTTTGCTCCAGATAAACACCATATAAAGTTTTTCCTATGAGGCAAAATTTGATTAAAAAAATCTATCATTATTTTGAATATTGCTTGCTTTCCTTTTATAGTTTCTCAAGGGCAAAAATACATTAAAATATGCAAATTACAAATAAAGCTTTACATTTATTAGTTTGAAAAGTAAACAACAGTAGCAATAAAGGCTAAATGGTAAAAAGGTTTGTAGAAAGCTAAGTTTCTTGGAAATTATTTTCTGATTCATAGAATATGTTTTTAGTAAAATCTTTGGTAAAAGTTCAGCAAAATGTCAAATGTTGCTTGAATGATGAAATAAGCAAAAAGATTTCACAAAACAAAAAATCAAATTCATTGCAATACAAACCCTTCACAGTTAGCAAACAGCAGTTCATCATCGCTTTCATTATCAGTGTTACCCACTGGGAGTCTGAAATTAAATGAGTAAAAAATATCAACTTACTAACTTAGTAAACCTTTATTCAACATAAATCATAAGTAGCAGAATTTGTAAATAATAATGAATATTCAATATAAAAAAATGTTCATTACAGAAAAAATGTCAAATGCATTAATAAGGACTATTTTTAAAATCAATTAAAATTTTTAAGTATTAAAAGATCATAATCACAAATGAATAAAAACCACATACAGCTTACTTTATTTTTATTGAATAAATCCACATACGTTAAAGTAAAAAAAGTTGAACCCATATGAATATTTATAAAAACATAAATATTGTTGTTTTAAAATATTAAATAAAAATGTATTTTTCTTTTTTAAGTATGTACTCATATTGATAAAAAAAATATTACCCCCGAAAAAGTTTTACAAGAGAGAAATTCCAGTTTCGCCTGCCCTGTGATTGCTGACTGAGGAAGTCTGGTGCTGGAGACAGGAATGCAAACAAGGCTTCACTCTGAGCCATTCGGTCATCCTTCATCACAGTCTAGGAATTAAATTCAACCAATATTTTCATGAATACAAAGAAGTAAAAAATAAAACCACAAACAGTAGCAATATTAAGATTAAAAAAAAACAAAAAACTAATGCATAAGACATGTGAGAAAAAATATTTAATTAATTAAAATAATTAAATGAACCCTTAAATTTTGAAAAATTACAAATAAAGTTTTGGATAATTACACTCTCTTATAAATTTACCCACTTTAGCTTACACTAAGAAAAAAACAAAAAAACAAGAGGTTCTTTTTTTTTTCAACTTATCAACTCATTGTACGTTATTTAAAATGCTGGAACATATTTCAAGAGAGGGTGAGAGAGATACGCTCACAATATATATATATAGATATCGATATACAAACTGTAATCAAAGAAATAGGAACACTAGTTATAAAAGGATAAAATGAATTTAAAGAGTCATTTTTTTTCAAACAAGTAACTTACAGTGAGATAGTTTTCAAGAGTCTCTTTTGCCTTTTCTAGGAATGTAGAATCAATGGCTTTAAACCACATTAAGGTGGTATTTGGTAATTCTTTTTTTTTCAACCATGGACCAATCTAAAATTAAAAATCAATCTTGTATCAGAAACAAATGTCTAACTCCTGAAAAATAGCATGTAACAATTTATATCTGCAGATGAAAATTACTAATTCAAATATACTATTAGCTTATTGTTTTTACCAGTATTGGTAGTATACCTAGTAAATACAATTATTATTACATCTCTGAAAAATTTAAATACATGGATATTGCACAGTGAATAATCCTAGGGTAGTTGAAGTTGAAAAAAGATTGTATTCATTATGAGCAGAATCAAGTAGAAGTGAAAACAAATTATATATATATATATATATATATATATATATTAGGTTGGTGCAAAAATAATGTCGTTTTCTCACATATGTTACTTTTATATATGATTTCTGAATTAATTCATTGATATATATAGCCATGTTATATATCATTTTGAAGCCCGTTTTTCGCTCTATCGAATCGTGTTATTTGTTACCGTTCTCAATCTCTTCATTCATTTTTTTGCAGGCTTTTCGACAGCATGGACAAAATTCAAATCCGCATGATTTTCTTGTTCCAGTTCAAACTAGGCCCAAAATCTGCCAAGACAGCTCATGATATCAATGATGCGTTTGGCCCAGGAACCACTAACGAACGTGTAGAACAACGGTGGTTCAAGAAATTTCGCAATGGTGACGAGAGCCTCGAAGATGAAGACGGTCGCAGCCGGCTGACTGTGGTTGATAACGAACATTTGAAAGCCTTAATTGAAGCCGATCCTCGCAAAACAACACGAGAAGTTGCTGTTGAACTCGGGGTCAACCACTCAACAGTCGTTTGCCATTTAAAGCAAATAGGGAAGTCAAAAAAGTTGGATAAATGGGTGCTGCATGAATTGAACGATAATCAAAAAAATTGTCATTTTGAGGTGTCTTCTACGCTCCTTCTGCGCAACAAAAACGACCCATTTCTCGAGCGGATTGTGGCGCGTGATGAGAAGTGGATCCTCTACGACAACCGGCGAGGTTCGGCACAGTGGTTGGATGCCGGAGAAGCCGAAATTGCACCAAAAAAAGGTTATAGTGACTGTTTGGTGGTCTGCGGCCGGTCTCATCCATCACAGCTTCTTGAATCCGGGCGAAACGATTACGGCAGAGAAGTACTGCCGACAAATTGACGAAATGCACCAGAAGCTCCAACCTATGTGCCCGAGATTGGTCAATATGAAGGACCAATTCTCCTCCATGACAACGCTTCGCCCGCATGTTGCTCAACTGACCCTGCAGAAGCTGAACGAATTGGGCTACGAGACTCTGCCTCATCCGCCATATTCACCAGACCTCTCGCCCACCGATTATCACTTTTTCAAGCACCTCAACAACTTCCTGTGCAAAAAATGCTTCAAAAGCCGAGATGATGCCGAATCAGCCTTCAATGACTTCATCGCTTCCAGAACTCCAGATTTCTATGCTAATGAGATAAATAAACTTGTTTCTCATTGACAAAAATGTGTCGATTCTAATGGTTCTTATTTCAATTAATAAAGTTTATTATGAAAGGAGTTATGATCTTTTGAAGTTGAACGTCAAAAAACGACATTATTTTTGCACCAACCTAATAATATATATATATATATATATATATATATATATATATATATATATATATATATATATATTTCTATGTACAATGTGTCATACCCTGTCCTCATCAGACACCAACCAGGGGAGGTAACACAATTTTGGTGGCTAAGGCAGTACTGCCACCCCTGGTGCCATCAGCAGCTATTGTCATTGGACAGTATTGTTTTTTTTTGTATGTATATATATATATATATATATATATATATATATATATATATATAATGTATCAGAGTAGAATTTTTATTGCGTTTTGATGTAAACAAATATATAGCCATTTCAAGAGAGAACCTGAACTAATATTTGAAACATAATTTCAATTAATAAAATTCCTTAAGACCAAAGGAAAAAAAACACCATCCAATTTTTAATCTTCTTCAAATATATAAACTGATTACTAATATATTTTGTCAGTTAACAGATAAATCTATAGCATAACCATCCACATTTTTTTCTCAATGCAAGAACAATTCAACAAGTGAAGAATCTTATTTCAGTATAATTATACAAACAACTTATACATATCAGTAAAAACAGATTATACAAACAAATGTATATCTCCAAATAAATTACCAAAAATAGAAACCAAAATAAAAAATATATCCTTTCATAAAAACATAGCTTAGAGACTGAACTTAAAAATATCAAAAATATTAATGCCAAATTTTGAGTTTCAATCTTTTGATACTTTTTTTGCACCTTTTTTCTGAATTGTTTTCATACTAAATTAAAGCTAGTTAATTGCTGTTATCAAATTTTCTTATTGCCTTGAAATGTTTCAATGTTTGATTACAACCATTAAAAAAAACAAGACCAAGTAAATTGTAGCAAATATTCATGTTTATATAAAAATCAATATCTGTTCAGTGTCCTGAACAAAAACAAATGATATTCTGCAACAGTGGAAAAAAAGAATTGTTTTGAAATGAAAATCACTTACTTGAATGAGTTTCTCATGCAAAGCAGCAAAGTCAGTCAATGTACGAGAAATGACCCAACCTTGTGTACAGCCAAGAGATTCAGGGTTTTTTACTGCAGCAACATGTACTACAATCACAAAATAGGGTGTCACCTTGTCACCATCAGAGACAATCTGAAAGTAAAAGTAAAATATAAAATAATTGACAAAAAAGGAAAAAGATTTCAAATGATCAAATTAATTTTACATTTTTTTTTATAAATAACAAAAATGAAAATAAAAGCCAGATAATAAAATTCAGAAAAATAAAAATAAAAACATGAGTTATTTCTCTTGATTTACTACCTTATATACTTGTTGGTAAAAGAATGAAAAGAAAAAAAACATATCATCTTATTGTAAATAAAAGCAGAAGTATCCTAGTATGCTTTTTTCAGCAAATATATACATACAGTTAATAATACTCAATTATTTTTATAATGAATATTAGAAAATTCCAATAATTTGGGTAATGAGTTTTATTTCTGCAACTGCTGATAAAAAAATGAAGTGATCATTTCTTTTGTTTGAAATTTGAACATTTTACCAAAGCTTAATTCTTTTAAGCCTTCCTGTAAGCAATCTGCTTCTGCTCCAGTTTTATAAGGACTTTGAAGGTAAAACAGCTTTTTAAATAGAAAACTATTTAACAAAAATTATCAGACTTATAATGCTAGTAGTTCTCAAATTTGTTTACAAGATAAATGTATTGAAAATGAAGAGTTAATTACCTGATAAAGAATTAATTTCATCTACATAATGGGCTTAAAAGATTAAACAAAAGACAAGTAGTAAAACTAAAATCCTTATAGTTATCATGTATGTATTTAAATAAACCAAAATTGAAATGACAAAAAATGTATTTTTATGAATGGAGAAAAATTATATATTCCACATAAGGTGAAAGATAACACCATGAATCTAATTTTGAAATGGTGTTCAAAACTGTTTTCGTTAATGAAAAATTAAAGCCAAACATTTTAGTTTTAGGCAAAATGATCACAGATATAAACCTCTGCATTAGAGACATGAGCTTTCCATTTTCCTTGATTTTCCCACCAAAGTTCAGTTCTTTCCACATAAGCTCCAAGTTGTCTTCTTTCCATTTGAAGATTCTCTACTTCTTTCTCAAGATCTTCTTGCACCTTTTTCAACTGGAATAAAAAAAGTATATATTTATACTGTTTAGCAAAATATAAAGAGCACAATAAAAATCCTTTTAAGAGTATTTATTATAATAATTTCCACCAGATGGCAATGTCAACATTGTCTTTGTAACTGAAAACCAATTTTCAAATGTAGCAAACAATTTTATTTCTATTGAGAATGCTAACAAAGATAAAAATACAATGTTTCATAATTTGACTTTAAGATATCTGCACAAAGTACCATAATTCCCCATGTATAATACGCCTTCATCCATAAAACACACTTCTAAAATTGTGCTGACAGTGTGGGTGTTGCATTGCCCCCTTCTTTTGGGGTCCTCTTAGTTAACAATCTTTAGGTGAGCATGATAAAGTTATCTTCCTCTCTTTCTTCTCTCGTAGCCATCTTCTGCTGGTCGAGTGTTGAAATGTTTTCGGGTTTGGAGGTAAAATGAGAACATCAATAAAAGGAATTATAAAGTTATCCATTTATTAAACATATCAATGTTTACATTTTTGGATTAGCTAGTGGGGTCACTCTATCACCAACAATGGGGAGCAAGTTCCCCAAGACACAAAATTAACACATCTGATCTCTTCAATGTGTAAAACTTAACTCACTGAAAATACTTTCTAACATTCCCATATTTGGCTCAGCCAATCAAAAACCACTTCCTTTGTTTCCTCTACCAGCTGACCCCAAGTTTCAGCCTCAGAAGGTCTGAGCCAAATACACTGCTACTAAAAAATAAGTCTGAAACTATTATTTAACACTCCTTACCCAACCATCAAAAAAGATTCATTTATGAATTTTATTTTAACTATTTACTCTAAAATACCCTCTATAATTTTGTATATGCAGGGCATACACTCCTTACAATTTTTTTCATTGGGTCTCAATCATATGACCACTCCAACATATACAATTCCTGAAAAAGAATGAATATAAACAACAAAATTCTGACCAGTTTTTCCCACTTCACAAACATTTTTTTAGCAAAAAAACAGAATGCCGGACAATCCTTTGTCCATTCTTGGTCACTAGTCTCCGTGACCCAAGGTCAACACCTCAGATGCCAGTCTGGATACAAGTCACTCCAACAGTGAACTTTGACCTCTGCAATATCTTCTCCGCCTGAGTCAGCAGGTATTACCTCTGCAATCCAATATTCCTGGGGAGAACAAAATTCCTTGTCTCTTCACAAAATGTACATATAATTCCTTGAAAAACAAATACTGGTCCAAAAGAACACATAATACATGCCACAGCATCAAACAATTTCATAATTGAGCCACATTCTTACCACCTAATTTTTATACGTTAAATATGCTATGATCTACACTCCTCTTCCACTCAGTGACACAGCACACATGGTTCATTATCACCCTATTTATTCAAACATCCACTTAATTACTTTTTTTTTCTTGTATATTACCAGATTCACTTGAAAAGATCTTCACAATTTTTTGCTACCGTTAATTTCCTATAGTTACTGTTATTACTCATCTGCCTCTGTGCATGAATGCAATGGATTTTTTTTTTTTGTAAAAGAAAGACTGTCGGCATTTTGTGATGGGGCATTCCCACTGTGATCTCTGTGGAGTCTTAATGAGTTGAAAGTGTTTGTGACTATGGTTTTGCATGCATTCAAATGTTTAAGTTTAGAATTATTTTGTTAATTGTAATTAACTGACAAATGATTGTTATTTCATTTTTGTAACAGAGTGTGGAATTTTTTTTTATTTTAAGAACTGTGTGTGTGTCCTTTTGCATTTATTGGTTGGTTAATAAAGTTATTAATTGGTGAATTTTGTGAGTTAATTTATTGTGGAAAAAGTAATTAGCTAATTGTTGTGGGAATAGGTAGATTCGGCTTGCATGGTTTCAGATTTCTAAATGTGTTTGGTTCTGTGTCCTGAGGTGGAAATGGTTACACCTACCAATGTAGGTAGGGACCCAATTATTTATGGGGAGTAGAATGGGAGCCTGTGTGCCATGAAGTATTTATATCAAATAAATATACCCTAGATGGCCAAACAATGAAGATTTTGTCAGCAACGAGCACATGATTATTTATGTAGGCAGAGAGAAAAGTGACAAAGGTGTAGGATTAATACTAGATAAAACATTTAAGAAATACATTCTGGGATACTACAAACTATCAGAAAGAATTCTGGTAGTCAAGCTGAAAGGAAAGTCTTTCAACACATCTATCATAATAGTGTACACACCGACAGCACAAAGTAAGAAAGAGGAAATCGAATCTTTCTACTCCATGCTAGACAGTGCCAAAGCAACTTCAAAATCACAAGTCATCATTATCATGAGAGACCTTAAATGACAAAGTAGGCAAGGAGAGGTCAGACGATATAGCAGAAAGATTCGGACTAGGAACCCGCAACGAATGTGGAGAAAAATGGATCCAATGGTGCTTGGTCAATGACCAGGTAATAGCCAACACATGGTTCCAAGAACATCCAAGATGATTATGGACATGGAGGAGCCCATGAGGAGAAACTAAAAATCAAATTGACTACATAACTATCAACAAAAAATTCAGGAATGCAATGATTCACTGCAAAACCTACCCAAGTGCCAACTGTGGAAGCAATCATTACCCTTTTATATGTGAACTAAGAGTAAAACTGCGGAAATTGAAGATGCCTAACGCAACACCCAAATTACAATACAACACACTCCTGAGCGATCCGAACCTGAAAGAAAAATATACGGACAATGTGGAAAGAAGATACGAAGAACACAATGGAAAACCAAAATGGGATACACTAAGAGATACTTTAGTGACATCAACAAACAATATCATCCCAAAGGTGAAGGGACGAAGAAGAAAAAAATGAACGGATGACAGGAGATTTTTGTCATGATGCAAAGGAGATAGAAAACTCTGACAAGATACAGAACAGAATACAGAAAATTGCACAATGAAATAAGGACCAAATACAGGCAAGCTAAAGAAGAGTGGCTAAACAAAAAATGTGCAAAAATAGGTTGAGTATCACCAACAAAGGAGATATGCACAAACAAAGCAACTAACAGGACAGAAGACATGCTTGTCAATAGGCTGTTTAAAATCAAAGAATGGAACACTCATATTAGAGAAGGAAAAAATTCTTCAATGCTGGAACAAATATATTGGAGAACTCTTCCATGATGAAAAAGAACAACCAGCAATATGCAGAACTATCAATGGACCTGAAATTCTGAAAACCAAAGTAGAAGCTGCATTAGCCAAATTGAACAGAAACAAGGTGGCAGGGCCAGACAGAATTGTAACGGAAATGCTGACAGCCTTAGATGACTTTGGCATAGACAAGATCACAGAAATAATAAATGAAATCTACAATAGTGGGCATATACCGGAAGATCTCAGCAGATCTATCTTCATAGCAATGCCTAAGGAACCAGGTGCAAACGAATTTGAACTCCACCAAGCAATCAGCCTAATGAGCCACATAACAAAACTCATCATCTGTATTCTGATGAATAGAGCGCAGCAGCAGAATCAAGCAAGAGATAGGACAAGAACAGTGCGGGTTTGTTAAAGACACCAGAACAAGGAATGTGATATTTATGCTTAGATTGTTAGAAAGAACAATAGAAATGAAGAAGGACATTTACTTATGTTTCATATACTATGCAAAGACCTTTGACAAAGTATGCCATAAGGATCTGTTGGAACTGCTCAGCAACCTTGATATATTCAGGAAAGATATTAGAATAATCAAGAACCTATACTGGCATCAAACAACATGGAATAGAGAATGAGTTCAACGAATATACAAAAATAGAAAGGGGTGTAAGGCAAGGATATGTCTTTTCACCCAACCTGTTCAACCTATACAGTGAGGTAATTCTGAGAGAATTGGAAATCCTACTGGGATTCAGCATTAGCAGTCACAATCTTAGTAACATAAGATACAAAATGATACAGTACTGATAGCAGACGCAGAAAAGAAATTACAAAATTTCCTATAGAAGGTAGTGAAGGAAACTGAGAATAAAGGGCTAAGCATAAACTACAAGAAGACAGAATGCATGGTTATCAGTAAAAGGATGAGCTTGAAATGTGATTTGCAGGTCGGGGACACTAAAATCAAGCAGGTGTAGAAGTTTAAATATCTGGAAAGTGTTTTGACAGAGGACAGCAAGTGCAACACTGAGATCCGTAGACATATTGGGATGGCCAAGGACGCAAAAGCTGGGCAGAGTATTGCAAAAGAGAAGGATCTCTTTGGTAACAAAGAAAAGAGTACTGAGCTGTTACGTGACATCTGTCCTTCTTTACAGCAGTGAATGTTGGACAATCTCCTCAAAGATGAAGAAGAGACTTGAGGTGATAGAGATGTGGTTCTACAGAAGCATACTGATGATATCATGGACTGAGTGTGTGAGCAACAATGAGGTCCTGGAGAGGATGCAAACAAGGAGGAAGCTTATACTTAACATCAGGAAGAGGCAGCTGAAGTTTCTGGGATAGAAAGGAGGGTCTGGAGAATCTGATACTCACAGGTTGAATAGAGGGAAAGAGAGACAAGAGAAAGCAATGCATGATATATCTGGCGGGCTTAAGCAAGAGGATGACAGATCATGGTCTGGGAGAGGTGACAGAGGGACAAAATTTATTGAAAGCTACAAGAGATAGGGGGAAGTGGAGAACCATGATCACCTACATTCTGAAGGGACACAGCACATAAAAAGAAAGATACTCCCAGGGTCAAGTTTTTTTGCCCCCAATGACCTAGTGGAATTGGTCAGGTGGCTTGTGGCATGCCAATCTGTGGTAGCAGCTAAGGAAGAATTCCTTGTAACCACATTTAAGCCAGTAATGAATTAGTTAGGAGATGCTGAGCAGGTATGTTTTTTCCCATAGGAGCAGCTGAGGGAAGGAGGAAATGGAGATGGTGTGAGTTGAGTTTTGGGTGCACAGAGGCAGATGAGCAATAACAGTAACTATAGGAAATTAACGGTAGCAAAAAGTTGTGAAGATCTTTTCAAGTGAATCTGGTAATATACAAGAAAAAAGTAATTAATTGGAAAATCAGGCTTCTATGTGGCCAATCACTGAAACTGGTCAAATTTACTTCAAGAAAAAAAAAAATTTCTTAACAGCAAAACTTTCATGGCCAGAATTTTTCGACAACAAAATAAAAATTACCACTGCAGCATATACAACATGAAATCATGCCAAACATGACCTTAGAGAAGTCATTTAAAGCATGCCAATCAAAATCAAACAATAAATTTCTGAACATTCTAAACAATAAGACAAGCAAAATCAGTCTCTTACTAAAATGTTTCATGAAAATTGTCACATCAGTGTGTATGTGTGAGTGTGGGTGTTCATTGTCCTTTCCTTCTTTTTTTTTTCTCTACTTGTCCTTTTTTTCTATTGTCTGTCCATCAAAAAAATGCCCTTTCCTCATTTTTTTCATCATTACTTCCGATCTTGTTTTGTTGAAGATGTGTGTGTTTGTGTGGCAGTAGAACAAAGTAATATCATCATGCTTACAGACTGTCCAATATGTTTAGACTACATTTTTTCATGTTCCCTTTTTTCTTCTTTTTCTTTTTTTTGAGTCTTCTGTCAAAAATCTTCTCCGAACATTTTCTATATTGTGTTTCAACCCTGGTTCACTTGCACCCTTCCTTGTTGGAAGGAGCTGGTCACTGCACACCAAACTGAGATTATGTTGTATAGCCCCTTCTCTTCTGGGAAGGTCTTTTGGTTGATGGGGTCAACTCCATAACAAAGCTGCATTCTTCTCTCTCAGCTGTCTTCTCTCAGTTGGGTGATCATTAGTTTTTTTCTTCTCTTTCTTTCTTCTCTTGGCTGGGTGTCAAAATGTTTTTTTGAATTTGGAGGTAAAATGAGAACTTCAAAAGGGATTATACATTTATTAAACACATCAACATATACATTTTTTAAATAGCCAGTGTGGTTGCTCTATCACCCCCAATGGGGAGCAAGTTTCCTGAGATACAAAATTAACACGTCTGATCTTACCAACATGTAAAACTTAACTCATGAAAACACTTTCTAACTCTAACATTCCCATGTTTGGCTCAGCCAAAAAACCACTTCCTTTGTTTTGTCTACCAGCTGACCCCAAGGTCAGTCTCAGCAGGTCTGAACCAAATACATTGCCACTAAAAAATAATAATCTGAAACTATTATTTAACATATGAAAATGCTTCTACTCAAACATAATATGCACCTCTTGTTTGGTAGTCAAACCCTATAAATTGTACCTCTACAATTTAATTACAGCCAGCATTTCTTACTCTTATTCAAGCTGTAATTGAAGATATTTATCAAATTTTCCAATCATTACAATTCTAAAAGGAAATGAAAATACCTATATTGTGCCTACTGCACACTCATTAACTTGTTTTTGTTTGATAAAAATCTACCAGATCTGTATGTAGTTCATGTTCAGTCAGTTATGTGCCATGCGTGATACATGCTTTAAGCGATCATGTATCTTTTGATACATGACTGACGAGGCAGATTTTTTCCATCAGTAGGTTGCCATTTCTTTCTGCAGTAAACCAGTAGCCATCCAAGGCTATAGAACCTGGTCTGCCCTGCTATTTACCCATAGTTGGGGGGAGAAGAAGAGGATTTATACCTTTCCTAAGGGTATTATTAGCACGTAAAGTGAATGTAATGGATTTGACTGGAATTCGAACTCGGCTCTGATTCCTCAATCCAAGTCATTATCCATTACTCCACCATCAAGTTAGTTATACATAACTCGAGTTTGCTTAATAGTTTGAGTTATACATAACTTGAGTTGTGCTTAAAAAGTAGACAGAATAAGAGTTGGCCTGAGAAATATTTAACAAAGAATAAAATGAATAAAGGAACAAAGAAATCAATTCAATGAAATTTATTGATCTTGATCATGAGGCTATTTCTGTGCAATTGAGGTTCTTCTCTGGATGGACAGGTTCTTCCTCTTCATGAACCTGTAGCACTAATTTGGAGAGGCTTTGAAAGTTTCCTCAAGGTATTTTTTCATCTTTCTCAGGGCCAACCACCTCATCTCTATAGTGCTGATGGCAAGTCCAGCAGCCTGCCTTTCTGCAATTTCCTCCACTAATTCTTTCTCCATTTGAGGATACTTGGCCTCTTTTCCTCTACCAGGGACTCTTGGAGAAAGTTTTGCAGCCACAATTTTTTCCTTGTTTTTTCTCCATAATCTTATATTTGTTTCATTTATATTGTACGTTCTTCCTGCTGCACGATTTCCCACTTGTTTTGTTACAGCAATAGTTTTTCTCTTGAATTCACTGGGGTAACTTGTTCTTCTTGTATTCCTTTTTAACCAGGGGTGCTGTAGAGTAAGAATAAGCGTAGGTAAGAATAATGTCTGCTCTTCTTGAGAGAGTGTTGTGAACTGCTGGTTGTTTAGCTTATACTCACACGTTTTATCGATATCCATTTCCATCAAAATAAACTTTTTTATTCTGGTAGTCTCAGAGCATATCATGCAGAAGCAACATGGCGGTGCCCATAGTTCATTGCATAGACATAAATCTTTCACAAAAAATGGTTTTAAACATAGAATAATATTACTCTAATTTAGTTTTATGATAATTCTTATTTTATTTTACATTTGTAAGTATTTTTAGGTACATATGATTGTATTTGGAATCTTTATGGGGTTGCAATTGCCAAATGTTAGCATCAAATTGTCATATGTTTGTAGTGAGTAGCCATTTCACAACTGAAATTAACCAATGAAATGGCAATTTTTTAAAGACTTTTTTGTAGCTGTACATAATATGCACCCCTAATTCTGCTTATTATTTTTTAGAAAAAAATGCATATTATACATGGGGAATTGCGATAGTACCATAAAAAGTGACAATAGTAAGAAATAGTATTTTCTCTTGAGGCAATAACAAACATAATTAGTACAAACAATTAATCTGTTACCTCAGTTATAATTTATACTCTCATTAAATAACTTTCCCATTATTTAAATAATCTCAATCACACCAATTTAATCATTTTTCTGGTGTTTTACATACTTGATAAGACTTCAGCCAAATTTCTTATGTGGCTTGATCAAATATTAATTTAAAGATATAATTAATAATAAATGAACTTCTAGATCACAACAAAAGTAAAACAGATATCTCTTTTTTATAGGAGTTTATAGACACAACCAACATTAAACAGATGGCTACTCTGATTAAAAAATTTTTTTACCTTATATTATTACAAATCATCCTGCACAGACTCATTCTTGGTACAATGAATTGCAAGTATAAACAAAATTGAAACAAGATTTAGTTAACTAAATTATCTACATCAAATAGCCATTGGCTAATAGAGAAATTTATTAGTTTTGTATTAGCAATCTAATTTTCCAGCCTTTCATTTTCCTGTACAATCAAAGATAATGATAATATAAAATAAATATTTAAATTTTATTTTTTCTTAAAAATCCTCATTTCTTGCTGTGGCATTTGTTTTCATCTTTTGTTTTTTGTGAGCTTGCAATGGTCTTTTCCCAGTTTCCCACACCAACATGAACATGAATGAAGACACAACATGGGGTGGTCATTGGCTGATTGGTGGAAAACTGGATGAGGACCTTATTGTATGTTTACAATAAAATTTTTAAATGAATTTCAAATACAATGTTTAGATATTTGTACATAGATTTATTCAAACATGTTTGTGCCATTTTGTTCCACTATATTTCCCTTGTTTAAGGCAGCTTCACAATTCCATTCTCACAGTACTTGGCATCTTTCTCTATATAGTCTAAGTGGTTTTTAAAAGCTTCCATTGAATTTAAATTGTTTTCATTAAGGATCAATTTTTTTTTTTTTTTTTTTTTTTTACAGTGACTCTTGTAAAGGTAGAGGATAGCAGGGGGAGTCAGGTACTTACTGGAGTGGTACAAGGAGCTGACCATTTTACCTGCATCCTTAGCAACAGATCATATGTACAAGTTTCACTTGAGGTCAGTTATGAGTTTGAGGCCCAACAGTCTTTCAAGGCATGGTACTTCCCTGAGAGGAACTTCATTCATCTTGATTGGTAGCAGTTTGGGGTTAGATTGGTGATGATGGAACATAACTACCTTAGTTTTCAAGGCATTAAATGTAACCAGGCAGTTTTTACCCCATTGAGTAGTTCATAAAAGATCAGAAGAGAGATCAGTCAGCAATCTCTGGTCATTGAGAGTTTTAGAGGTTCACCTGTATATAGTTGCTTCATTGGCATAGATGTTTAAAAATGATCTGAGTATATTCTTAGGCAGATCAACATCTGATTTTGTTTAAGGAGTTTATAGCAGACTATGAACTTTCAATCCAAAACATACACAATATCATCTTTTTCACATGCAACAGGGCTTTTCGAGTGGTTTATAGCATTAGTTCATTTAATTTTCCCCAGGACTCTTTTTGGTTCATATTGTTATAATCAATCCATTCTTCATCACCTATGATTGATCTTTTCAAAAATGAGAAATTTTTCTTATGTTTGAGGAAAGAATCACAAATGAAAATGCAGTCTATTAAGATTTTTCCTGTTAAATCATGAAGCACTCAAACAACAGAACAATTCCCATATCTAAGTGTTTTTAAATGCTTTACAACACTCATATGAGGTATACCTCTATGATGTCCTGTGTTGTGTGACCTGAATTATTTTCAATTGGCATTTCAATTTAGTCATCATCAACAACTGCCAGATAAAATTTTCCACTGAACCAAATAATTACTCTCAACTATGACACCATCTCCTTAAATGGTACATGTCTTTTTTGCTGTTTGTACACTGTTTTTATCTTTCTGGAAAGAAAAGAGCATCAAATGATGAAAATGCATTTCATTCTCCTCCATTTTCACTTTCAATATAAAAACATTTAAAATTCAAAATTGACACATGAATCATATAGAAATATGGGTTGAAATGTAAACTTTCAGAATATGAATATATGTCATAAATTTCAGTCACATATGAAACAAAATCACATGTTTAAATGCCACCTATTGAAAAACATTAAAATGTTTGTTCCAACTCAATATATAGATATTCTCTGGTTCAGACTATTACAGCCAATTCTTTTCTTTTCATCCTGTAGCAACACATTCACACAATATCTCATGAAAGTTGAATATATTACCCAATAAGGTAGATTCAAGAAAAAAAAATGTATGAATTTTAACACATTCTAGAAAATATGAAAACTTTATATTCATAATTTCCACTGAGAGACACTCAATTTAAAACTGCAGCTTCTTAAGCTACTCACCTTGACATCGATTTTGGTGGAATTTTTTAGAGTAGTCAATGCCTGTGTTTTATTCAGAATCTTTTCATCTAACTTTTCCAGTCTTTTCTGTATTGAATATGACTGATCAGCAAACAAAACATCCTCTACAACTTCAAAGGCTCCCAGTGTTTCTTTACCTTCCAAAAAGTCTTCTTCTAAAAATCAGAAATAAAAGAAAAACATTACATTTTACTAGGATTTAACAATATTAATTTATTTTCATTCACTGGACTAATTTTAAGAAGTTTATAACAATCATTTTATTAATGAGAAGAAATTTGTTTACCAATTATTTCATTTTATTTATTTTTATAAGTGCTTTTTTTAAAACTTTTTCCAAATTTACCTCTATTCAATAAAATCAATAGTTATATAACATGAAAATAGAATAAAAAAGCCTATTAGAATTAAGAAAAAACATTTTAACATTTCAGCAACATAAAATTAAAGACTGAAATACTTTGGCTAATTTAATAAATAATACAAGTCTAATGTATTGGAAAGACAAGTCAATACTGTCCTGTATTTATATATAACTACTCATTTTGATAGAGTTACCAAATCTAAAGTAACAATCAACAATAGAATAGTGAAATGTTTCCACCTGCATTTACAAGTTTCTTGTGGAAATTTGTTTTATTTTAATTGTTTATACAGATGGTCCTCATGGCATTTGTGGTTATGGTGCCATCTCCCTTAATCTAATGTGACATCACATGGAGCTATATGAGGAAGATGGCATTGATTCTTCACCAACTGTATGCCATAGTGGATTGTGCTACATTTGCTATCCCTCATTTGTGTCGTCTTTTTTTTTTTTTTTAAACTTTTTGCTCTTCATTATGTCCCCCAAGCATAAGGCAGACTTGTGGGTGCTTACGTAGGTGAGTTCTGACCTATGTTGAAAATCAGGTTACATTGCACTGTACGAATGGATCTCTGACGTTAGTTGAGGACCCCGTGTACTAATGAAATTATACAATTACTATTTTAACTTTATTTAAATTTACCTGTGCAATGTTAGTGCAGTTGGTGTTTAAGTGTATTATATATATGTGCATGTGTGTGTGTGTGTGTGTATATAAATTGGGCTTTATTGTGCATGTAAGTATAATAAAGCCCAATTTTATATCACATTTTTATGACAAGATGATTAAAAAAATCTGATAAAAGTAAATAGAACGACATACAAGAACAGAGTTTCATGACGATCTAGATGTAACCACTGGGAATCACATTAAACTGCTGTCATTTCTCAATTCTCTTGTACTTTTATTGTTGCTATTAAGTGAGTCATTTGTTTCTTTCCATTTCATGGATATTGATTGATTATTGGTTTTTCTTCCTCTGCCTTCTTTTTTTATTTTTCTCTTTTATTTTGGCTTTTGTTCTTTCCTCATCTTCTCCGTTGGTCTCTAGTTTATTGTTGATCATTTAATTTAGGTTATGGTTGGATTTATATGTTTGTGTAGGTGTGTGTTTATGCACGTGCCTATATATGTATATGTATATACATACATAAGCATGTATGCACACACTCACCTGCATGTGTATGTTTGTATGCTCGTGTGTGTCTTTGTGTGTGTTTGCGTTCATGTTAACTGTATTGTGGGTTTAATTGTGTGTTTGTATTAACTGTATATGTATTTTTGGCAGGTTGTATTATTTAACTTAGTGTTTTAATATCTTTTAGTAGGTTGCATTATTTAACTTTACTCCGTGTTTGATACTTGTGTTTACTTGTATGAAAGAACAGTTTTTTTTTGTATTTTTTTATTGGTTTATGTTTAGTATGTTCCTTAACTTTGGTATTGTTTTAACCATTTTAGTTTAGATGGGTGAATTATTGTGTCTGTATACGTTTTTGTGTGTGTGTTAACTGTATTGTGCATCTAATTGTGTGTTTGTGTCTTTGTGTTAACTGTATATGTATTTTTAGTGGGTTGTACTATTTAACTTTGCTTAGTGTTTTAATATATTTTACTAGGTTGTATTATTTAACTTTTACTTAGTGTTTGATACTTGTGTTTACTTTTATGAAAGAACAGCTGTTTTCTTTGTATTTTTTTAATTTGTTTATGTTTAGTATGCTCCTTAACTTTGGTATTGTTTTAGCCATTTTAGTTTAAGTTATGGTTGAATTTTTGTGTGTATATGTTTCTTGTGTGTGTTTGTGTTAACTGTATATGTATCTTTATTTGGTTGTATTATTTAACCTTTACCACACTAATTTTTTCTAGAATTGTTCCTCCTGCCACTGCATTTTTTTGATGCCATAAAAACATCTACTGTTTTAAAATTGTTATAACTTCCTTTGTATTGTGTAAATAGATTTTTATTTTTTGTACACTAATAAAAGAATGAATGAGTAATATTTTGATGTAATCCATTATGTAATGTATTATGTTTTGCATTCATGTTTTGATGTTGTAAACAAAAAATTGAAATGCGAAATAAAAAACACAAAATAAAAAACAAATACATTAAAAAATGCATAAATAATTCAACGTACTTTAATTTACATTATTTACATTATTCAGACTATTGTCCTCATCTTTGTCGCCATATTTACCACAACGCAGGCCGTTGTACGCCCGGCTTTCTTCAGGTTGGAATGTCGAACTGAACCCTTTTATTTTGCTCACCGGGTAGACTGTTCTAATTCCACATGCCATGTTTGATGGATATCAGTTATCTCCTGTTAATTTCCTCTGAACGTTCTCCACTTTAACCGGTATTGAACTCACACTTTTGGGTCCTGTCACTGGATCTAAAAAATTTTATCCACTGTGCCATGTTGTCATTGGACACATAAAGTGGATAAATATAGACGAAAATATAGACGTAAAAAATATGGACGTACTTTAATTTTTATTACTTCTTTGTGTAGTTCTGGGGGTGCAATAAGAAAAAATTGCTAAGAAGGCTTTCATTTCATTCTGGTGACATGTTTCCTTGTCTTTTTGTATTACAAAAGACACACCAGCATTTGTTTGCTCTTTCTTTCACCTGACCAGCATATTTATTTGTCTCGTTGACAAATAAAGTTATTATTTCATTGTTTATAAACAGACAAAATAATTCACCTTCAGAAAGGTTATCAGATATATCTATGGTCACCAGTAGCTTCCATAAAATTAGTCAGGCATGGACGATAGTAGCTGCTAATGGTTATCAACACTTTCCTCTACATTACTAGTGTGGCTATCATCTTCAACCACTTCACCATCAATATCCACTCGAGTAAAGCCTTCAAAATCATCATCGGAGTCCTAATCAAAGAAAAGCTCCTGAACAAAAGCTTTGTTGAATACTGACATGGCCATTTTTATTTTAAAAAAAATTGTGAAAAAAATTAACATGAGTTTAATCGGTTACATCTCGTGTAGAGTCTAGAAGAATTCAGAATGGCATTGGAAAACAGAAGTCTAGCCTTGTTCTAAAGCAGTAGTAGGTGATTTCCAGCTTAAAGTACTGGAAATAATGGTTGACAAGTGTTTATTTATAGCAACTGTCTCACGGCAATAGAATGCGCCTAGAATAGCAAAGGGAGAGAATTCTATGACGACTATTGTTGCCTGCAGTGTGGTGAAGGTTAACTTTGTTTAGTGTTTTAATACATTTTAGTAGGTTGTATTATTTGATACTTGTGATTAGTTGTATGAAAGGACATTTTTTTGTTGATGTTGTTAAACCAATTCTTTCATTTGTATTTTTCAACCCACCTAAAATACATATACAGTTAGCACAAACACACAATTAAATGCACAATACAGTTAACATGAATACAAACACAGTTAGACCCACATACACAAACATACACATGTGGGTGAGTATGTGCATACATGCTCATGTATGTGTGCACATACATGAGCATGCACATAAACACACACCTGCACACACATACATACACACACAAAAATCCAATCATAAACTAAAATAGATGGTCAACAATAAACCTGCAGAGAGGATGAAGAAAGAATAAAAGAAAAAATAAGAGAGGAAAAATAAAAAAAGGAATAAAAATCAACAATCAATCAATAGACTGTATATATCCAGTGCTGGAATCTATTCTTCACATCTTATTTAACAAAATATTTTTGATTGTTTAAACGATTCTCAACACAACTTGTTTAGCTTCTTACATTTCAATATCCTCCTTATATTTATCTTTCACTCTAGTTTTTTGTAGAAGAGATTATATCCAGTGTCTTTTTTTCCTTCTCACTCTTCTTATTTTCTTCCTTCTTTTTTCTTTAGAAGAGATTGTATCCAGTCATTCTTTCTTTTCTCACTTTTTTTAACCACATCTTGTGTTTTTTCTTTCTTTATTCTTTTTAGATGAGACTATATCTTATGTCTTTCTTTCTTATTTTCTTTTTTCTTGGGAAGAGAGATTGTTTATAAATAAATTTAAGAATTGTAAAAACCATCATTTACCACTGCCTGATGAGATGCACTGATATGCATCGAAATGTGAATACATTTATGTAGTGATTACATATGTTCAAATGTAATATCCTATAATAAACCATATATATATATATATATATATATATATATATATATATATATACATATAATGTTATTGCTCCATTGGTATGTTGAGCACTTAGAAAGAAAGGGAATTTGTTGACTACAGCTGATTAATGCTAAAAGCTCTTCGCTATGGTAGTCAGTAATGCTTATATCTCATTTATAATGCATTAAAAATTCCCTTTCTCCATAATGCTGATGGCCAAAGGGTGAAACCTCTCATGTCAAATCAAAGATTTCAATCCCAGCTTGAAGCAATAGCATGTCTAGACACACTGATGAGCTGTGATACAGTGAAACAGTCTGTCTATAGATGACTATATATATATATATATATATATATATATATATATATATATATATATATATATAAAATAAATAAATAAAAGAAAGAACAGTAAGATATAAATCCGTGTTCTTATAGATATTTTTATTTTATAAAATAGTGCTAATAAAAATTTATGAGGTTAATATTATAAATTAATTGATTTAAAATATGTTTTTTTCTTATCACAGTTCTAACCATGTTTCAAAAATGAATAAAGCCATAGTTTATATATTAAATTAAAGACATTAGTTCCATTGCATCCTCTATTTTGGAAATTTTAAAATTATTGTT